TATTCTGAAGCTAAAAGAAATCGGTGAAAGTATGCACAGGGGATGCAGCCAGGGAGGGCCTAAAGGAGCTCTGCCAGACCTCCACGCAACGTGGATGAGAGCTTGGGCCATGGCTGCAATGGGCTGCAACGGCTGGTCTCGTCTCACTAGGTTCCTCTGACAAGAAAACAAGCTTCATCCTTAGCTGACCAAGGAAACATGGCTGTTAAATATTTTCATGCAGCTTGTTTCAGACCCTGTGGCACTGTGACCAGGACCCTGCAGACCAAGAGTGTTCAGACCAGTGGGATGTTAAAAACAGAACAAAGGTTGGATGCAGAGGAGGGGGAGTGGGAGGCTTCAAGAAGTTACTACTTCCATGAAACCCAGATAAAAATTAAGCTTATTCAAACCATATGGAGCAAATGCAATCAGCCACTCTCCAGGTTACGCTACGCAGCCCACCACAGCGCGTGCGCCAGCAAGCCGCCTTCACCCTCGATCATCATCTCCTTTCCCCAGAGCTGCTGCTCGATCCGGAGGACAGCGTGGTTACAAAGACAAGAGAGGTAGATTAAAAAGTCATGATCAAAAGCAATTAGTCATCGAGGCTTGGATTTAAAAACAAGGGTTCCAGAAGACACTGAGAGTCTGCTGCTTCCAAAACCAGCTTGTTCAGAGTCTTCTCCCTCTGACAGAGCGAGTGTGTGTCCCTTCGTAGAGCTTGGAGGAACTGCTACATTGCTCTCTCCCAGGGGACACGGCTATTGCTGTCGAGCTGTGGCAGGTGAGGCGAGAGGCAGACTGCAGGATGGTGCGTTGTGCTGTGGGCACGGGGCTGCTACTTCCGCAGGTATCTCTGAGCCAGGATGGCTGCGTCCAGAGGGTTCATGGGCTGGGCGTCATGCCCCAGGCGCCGCACGGGTGGGATGTTCCCAAACTGCCGCTTCTGCAAGAAGCTCTTGCCCTCATGCAGCGTGTTCTTCTCCTCCGCCAGGAGCAGCTGCTGCCTCATGTAGTTTTCAAACTCATACTGCGAGCACTCCTCTGTCACCTTCACCTGCAGCCAGGACAGATCCAGTCAGAGCCAGCTGGTGCTGGCCACACATGCTCACAGCCTGACCCCTGAACACCCTCACTGGCCTCAGCCTGCTGCAGGACTTGCTCAGCACTGGAGCAGGGTGACCACAAGGGGAGGCACTCACCACTGCAGACAGCCCCAGACTTGCAGCTGGCAGATGGGGGCCATCTGTATCAAAGAAGCCAGTGACACTCGCAGCTGGTTACCTGCAAGATGGCTCTTTGGTGGCTTCAGGCTGACTGATGCTTTTTCCAAGCCCAGTGAGAAGCTTGAGTAAGTGGTCAGTGCCGCTTCCCACACGTTGGGAAGAGGCCTGGCTAGCGTGGGCAGCAGCCCAGGGGCTGGCATGCATGTGGGCTCCCTGCTCATAGCAAACAGGATGTTTATGCACTTGGCAGGTGATCCTTGAGATACTGCCGCCC